CAGATTTATCTCTTGTGACTATTTCAGATAAATGGAATCATACGATATTGTGACCCTTTGTGTCTGGATTCTTTCAATTAGCAGGATGCTTTCGAATTCATCCATGGTGTAGCAGCATCCATGGTGTAGCATGCGTCGGTACTCCATTCCTTTTATATGGCTGCGCGATATTCCATTGTATATATCTACCACGATTCATTTATCCAGTCATCTGTTGATGGACATTTCAGCTTGTTCTACTCTTGGCTATTGTGATGTGCTGCTATGAACATGCATGTACATGTATTTGTTTGGGTACCAGTTTTCAGATCTTCAAATCTTCTACCTAAGAGTAGAACCACTGAGTCAAATGGTCATTCTACGTTTAAGTTTTGAGGAACTGAAAACTGTTTTCCACAGTAACTGAATCATTTTACATTCCTAAGAGCAAAGGTATAAGGGTTCCGATTTCTCTACATCCTCACCCATGCTTGTTATTTTTAGTTTTTTGATATTAATCAGTCTAGTGGGTGTAAAGTGCTACTTCACTGTGGTTTTGATGTACAGTTCCCTAATAACAATTGAATATGAGCATCTTCTCCCATCCTATCTTGCTGTCAGGTTATATTATTTTTGTTCCTTCATGATGATTTCAAAGGGCAGAAGAGATGTGAACACAGAGATGTGCCACTTAAGCCCCCTCTCAGTGAAGGCCTTCTTGCCCCAGTGGCTGAGAGGGCAGCCCTTTAGGGCCATCTACCCCTTCAGGGCTTGCCTCAGCTGCAGAGAGCCACTTTGCCCAAGATCACAGCCCTCCAAGGGTAGCCACATTCAGTGACTTATCCAGGTGATGTACAAATACCTGGCCATCTCGGCCTAACTCGAGACAACTCTGAAGGCCTATGCTAGCTCTAGACTGCCCCGTGGGGTTGCCAAGGCCTGTAGCACCGCTCGACTGCTCTTTCTGTCCATTCTTACGCCCTTCCCACCCTTTCCACAGGTATTTCTCCTAAAGGCACTCCCTAATAAACATCCTGCACGCTTAACTCTGTTTTAGAGTCAGCTTTCTGATGAACCCAACCCATAAGAGACAATAAATGCATGTGTCTTGTTAGTCAATTTGAGCTGAACCAATTATTATTTCTTTAATATTGCAGAAATATAGTTAAGATGGGCTTGTATAAACTACTTTATATTGAAAGATCGGGACTCTGTGCTCTGGATGCCCCTATTAAATCTCACGTAGGCATTGAGCTACAAAGTGGTGCCAATCTTGAGACATCCAAGGCCTGATTTTATGATGTTTCCAGTTAAAGATTTTAGTTTTTAGTGAACTAGGTTACTCCCTTAACTGTTCAGTGAATTGGAGCCACTGTGTGAACGCAGCTGATGTTGAAGAGGGCGTTCACATTCTGGTCTGTTGGGAGGTTTAAGTACTTTTTTAAAACTCAGCTTTGAAATTTCAATCGTGGGAGTCATTAAAGTCCAGGGTATCTAGAGCAATCAGGGCTGCTTTGTGTTCCTGAAATTAGACCACGTGTCCAACAAAGTCAGTCTTCAGTGTTTGTTTTCACTTCTCCTCCAGCATGATCTCCCTCTACTTCTGCATTTCATCTTTCAAGCCTCGCCGGTTGCCCTCCAAGTTCAATCTCAGCTGTGCCTGTGGCCTCTTGGCCTTTGTTGGAACATTGAAGGCCTCCCCTCTTCCCTCAGTCTTTTTTAAAATTAATTAATCTATTAATTAATTAATTAATTTATTTATTTATGGCTGTGTTGGGTCTTCGTTGCTGCACACGGGCTTTCTCTAGTTGCGGCGAGCGGGGGCTGCTCTTCGTTGTGGTGTGCGGGCTTCTCATTGCGGTGGCTTCTCTTGTTGCGCAGTACGGACTCTAGAGCGCAGGCTCAGTAGTTGTGGCACACGGGCTTAGTTGCTCCGTGGCATGTGGGATCTTCCCGGACCAGGGACCAAACCCGTGTCCCCTGCATTGGCAGGCAGACTCTTAACCACTGCGCCACTAGGGAAGTCCCCCCTCAGTCTTTTCTTTGATGACGGCCATAGCAAGGTTGAGGACAGAGAGGCCATCTTTTCTGTCCAGAATTGTGTGGCCTTCACACACCCTGGTGGAGCTGGTGGATTGGTGTTAATCGGCAGGGTTTCTGTGGAACCATTCCAACCTGCTCTCATGGACTCTTATGGCATCAATTCTTTCATAACCATAAGAAGACTCCCTAGGAAGGGATCTGACCTTGCAGTCAATGGTCTATTCATTTTGTGAATGAACAAAGTTGTATTCACCTTGTATTGCTTCATGATAAGTTACCACAAATTTAGTAGCTTAAAACAGCACACATTTGTTAGTTCACAGTTTCTGTGGGTCAGGAGGCCAGGCACAGCTTAGCTGGATCCTCTGCTCAGGGTCTCACAAGGCTGCATTCCTTTGTGGAGTTCAGAGTCCTCTATCAGGCTCTTGTGGTTGTTGGCCAAATCCATTTCCTTGTGGTTCTAGGACTGAGTTCTCTTGGCTTCTCAATGACTGTTGGCTGGAGGCTACTCTCAGGTCCTAAAAACCGCCCACAGTTCCCTGCCATGTGGCTCTCTCTAGGGGGCAGTTACAATATGGCTTTTCCAAGACCAGCAGGAAATCTCTCTGTGCTAGCAAGATGGACCCTTATACACATCATAATGTAGTCACAGGTGTGGCATCCTGTCTCGCCTTTGCCAGATTCTATTGGCTAGAAGCGCAGGTTCCACTCACACCCAATGGGAGGGGATTATACACGGGCATGACTCATTGATGCTCACCTTAGGGGTGTGTACACCATGTCTGTCAATGGATGCTAGCTGTGCACCTTTATTCAAATTTAAGCTCCTCCAGAAAGATGCAGCTGAGACTGCGTGCTCAAATGCTCATAGGCCTCATGTCTGGTCTCTCATATCTGTCATTAGAGGCCCGGCTGTTGTCTAGACGGGCTCTCCAGCTGCTCCTTCTTGGTGTACCCCAACACCTCGGCAGCAGGTCAGGGGCTGCTTAGATCAGTGTTGGACTGGGTGAATTTGTCTTCACATCTGATTGCTTCCTCTGGAGAAACTCTCTTTTTGACAAATCAGAAGTCCACCTCTGTGATGGCGATCAGGTCGTGCTGCTGTCCCTCCTCCCCACAGGTGGTACATGCCTGGGGGGCTGCAGGCAAGGACCCGTCTGCCTCCTGATTCCTCATGCATCCTTCCCACCTCCCGCCCCAGGGCCTGGACGGCATGGTGCTCCGGAAATGTTTGCCGACTTGAATGGAGTCCACAAGAGAACTACAGACATTTTTAGAGGTGGGAACTGTGTGTGGCTTTTGCCTCATTCCCTTCCCTGGTCAACCCTGGGGTTTACTGAATGATTTTGTGTTAATGGCTTTTTGATAATGACAAGTATGATATCATTTGCTCCTTAGTTCACAAGCTTGCAGGAGACACCCGTTGCTATGAGAAAGTATCACAGATGCCAAGGAAAGAGGAAATAAGGATGAGAGTAATTTTCTAAATAGACACTGGAGTCCTTGTTGAGGTTGGGCTCAGAGTTTCCTGAAACATTAGGGGCCATACTTTTGGGAGGGAAAAGGCAGCCACCAATACAAGGGAAGTGTCTGGATGAGGAGGGACAGCTGAGGTGCCTCCTGAGGCCTGGCAGCTTGGGCACTTGGCTGGGGCTGGCCCACCCCGAGGGACTCGTCCTATGCTCTGGTCTGGGGAGTGCAGGTGGAGGCTGGCCCTTCCCAGGGAAGGGGGCGTTGCCAGCCAGGCTGCGGTGTGAACAGCCAACCTGCTGGGACCCCAGGATACAGCAAATGAGGTGCAGCGGCAATGGCAGCAAGCCTCCTGCGATGACTGCGCTCTGGCTGCCAACCGAGGACGTTCCCTCTCACGGAAACCCCCCCTGCACCTCCACTTCCTGGCTGTGTGCCAGGTCAAGTGACTTGGCCTCTTTGAGTTTTAATTTCTGGATCTGTAAAATGGGAATGATAGTAGCATCTAGCTCACAGTGTTGGTGTGAGGAGAAAATTAGCATGTTGCCTGGGTATAGGAAACCCTCAATAACTATACTAATATTTATGTGTTCCTGTATGCAAAAAAAGATCTCCAATCTGCCTGGCATTGTGTTAGGTTATTTCACTAGGAGGTGGAAGTGAGTCAGAGACAGAGAGAGAGGATTGTGATGTCCTGCCTAACCCTCAGCCCCAGGCACCCAGTGAATGATTCTTGCCACCGGAAGAGTTATGACCCTCACTCCTCCCATCTCCTACCTGCTCCCCATCTCCTGTTTCCCCACCAGCCACACCAGCCTCTGTGCCATCAGCTAACACTGTCAAGCATGCTCTCCACAATGCCTGCTCCCTCACCTCCTTCAAGTTTTTGTTCACATATCACTTTACTAGTGAGGCTTTGCCTGGCCACCCCGTAGAAAATAACATGAAACTCCCCATGTGCCACCCACGCCCCCATATTTTTTTTTTCCAGACCGCGCATGCCCACTGCTATTCAATGTTTATTTGGTCATTTATTGTCCACAAGCTCCACAAGGGAAGGAACTTAGAACTCCCAGCCGCCAGAACTTCCAAGCTGCCAACAGTGCTCGGTATACATATCTGATGTACTTAATAAGTATTTGTTGAGCAAACGCATAGGAGAGGGGTCCCTTTAGATGGAGGAAGGCGAGTTCTCAAAGGGCCTCATGGAAGGAGAATGGCATTTGGGCTGGTCTGCAAGGAAAAGTATGACTTTTATAGAGAGAAGAGGGAAGGGAAGGGCCTCCAGGTGAAACGCATAGCACGAGCAAAGGCGAAGTGGCGGGAAACTGCTGGTTGAGGACAGCGCTTGCAACGCAAATCTTTGGAGACACCTGGGAAGACTCCCCAGGTACCTGCCCGACGGGGGAGGTGCGCCCCAACCAGTGAGTCGGCCCGGTGGGCGGGGCAGGCGCTGCGCGGGAGCCTCGGCTCCGCCCCCTGTGGCCCGGATCTCGCGCAGGCGCACTCGCGCTCGGGCCGGGGCGCCGGCCTCTGCGGCCGGCTGCGGCCGCGTCGGGCAGGGTGCCCGGGTTTACGACGCGCGACAGGCGGCGGGGGCGGCCCTACCCTCCTGCCAAAACCTGTCATCGTCGCCCCGGAGCGGCTGCGCCGGGGCAAAAATGCTGCCGCCACGCGGGGGCCTGCTCTGGCTTGGCCTGGTCCTGGGCTCCGTCGGATCCGCGGCGCTGGGCAGCTCGGCCACAGGTGCCTCCGGCGCCCTCGCCCACATTGCGGGGCTCCCTCCTTACTTCCCTGCCTACCTCCATCCTTAACTCCCTCGCTCCCTCCCTCCTACCATTCCTTCTTCCATCGATCCTTCCTCCCTTCCCTCCCTCCCACCCACCCACCCACCATCCTTCCCTCCCTCCCTCTTTTTTCTCTCCCTCCCTCATCCAGGCTTGAGGCCATGGCCAAAGCCTAACCCTGCCACCCCGGACTGGGGCTTCTTCTGTGCACCCACTCCCACCCTCCCTGGCGTAGCTGGCTGGGTTGTCAAGGTGCTGGGGCCAGCCTTGGACCTCTGGGTACCCTAGCACCTACCCCGGGTGGGGGTTGGGTGTCAGTGCAGGTGATCTCACTGAAGCCCCTCCTTCCTGTGCAGATGCTCTGAACGTCCTTTTAATCATCGTGGATGACCTACGCCCCTCCCTGGGTTGTTACGGGGACAAGCTCATAAGGTCCCCAAACATGGACCAGCTGGCCTCCCGCAGCCTCCTCTTCCAGAATGCCTTTGCCCAGGTATGTCTGGGCACCTCTGGGTGTGGTGTGTGCCTCGTGCACTGAGGGCTGGGGGATGGTACTCATTGTGCCAGGCATCTCTTTAGTAGAGGGGAGCACAGTTTGGAAAATGGCGGCTGAGAAAACCTGGTTGTCCACTGGCAAGGAAGCTTGTGCCTTTCAGGGGTGCTTCTCCTTGGGTGGAGGGTGTGCCCTGGTATACTGTGTTCAGGCTGGTCCTGCCCACCTTTCTTCCCCCAACTGGAGGTTGCCTGGTGCTGAGAAGGAGGGGATGCTGCCACAGCGGCCCTCCTTCCTGTGCCCCTTCATGGGGCCGCTCCCTAGACCTTTGCCTGCTCCGGGCACCCGTGAGACGCCATCATGCAGAACGACACAGTCATCTGCTGGATGGAGGGGCTGGGGCCTTCCTCTCTCGGGGAAGACTTCTTGCTGGCGGCTGGGTGAGGCCCAAATCCTGCTGGATGGTTTTGAGATCTGCATGACTCAGCCGCCAAGCTGTTAGCCGAGGACCTGGGAGGTTGCCTGGTTACCTTTTAGCTCCCAGACTTTGTTTTCCTCTGAGGACGTGTCCCTCTGCTTCTGCTCCCTACCAGCAAGCCGTGTGCGCCCCGAGCCGCGTGTCCTTGCTCACCGGGAGGAGACCAGACACTACCCGCCTGTATGACTTCAACTCCTACTGGAGGGCACACTCTGGAAACTTCTCCACCATCCCCCAGTACTTCAAGGAGAATGGCTACGTGACCATGTCGGTTGGAAAAGTCTTTCATCCTGGTACTGCTTGCCCCTCCGAGTCTGGGCTCTCTCCATTTTCGTGTCTGAGGACGGGGGTCCCCTCCTGGGGCTGGGGCTCGGTGGGCACCTGGTTAGTCGCTGCCACCTTCGTGCAGGATATCACTTCTCAGCTTGGCTTTGTGTTCTCACCAAAAGTGAAAAAGGGTAGAAGGGCTTTTTCTTCCTTTTGGAAACTAGTCACGGTGCTGTTTGGTTCCTTTGGCTGCGTGGGGGGAAGGAAGGGCACTGGCTGTGGGGGAGGGGGAGTGTTGGCTGGGAGTCCAGCTCTGCGCCTGACCCCCTGTAACCCGGGGTCCCTGGCAGTGAAGTGAGACCAGGGCAGCTCTGCTGACTTGCCCAGTGAAGAGGCTGTAATTTGGCAGGGGTTGCCTGCCCGCTGTCTGTGAATTAGGTCAGAAAGAGGAGGGTAAGCTGGTACCCAGGGTCCCTAGGGTGCCAGGGGCCACCCAGTCCTGACCTTCAACACTGCCAGCTAAACTGGCTCTCTTTAATGCCAGAACGAGAATGCTGAAGCAGGGAGTTTAATACTTTTTTGTTTTTAACTTGAAGTAAGGCATTATTATTTGACAGGAAGTTGGGGGAGAAAAAGGGAAGTCTAAACTAAAGAATATAAATTGGGAATTCCCTGGCAGTCCAGTGGTTAGGACTCAGCGCTTTCACGTCTGAGGGTTAAATCCCTGGTCGGGAACTAAGACCCCGCAAGCTGCGCAGCGCGGCAGAAAAGAGGAAAAAAATAATAAATTGTTGTATTTGCACCACTAAGGAGAGCTGTGTTGTGGTGACGCCCCCTGGCTCTGGGCGTATTATTTTTCTGATTTGAGATTTTCCTGGATATACAGCTTTATATTGTGGAAGGCAGCTGTGCTCACCAGTGTGCCACCAGTGATGCACAGCTGTATTGTGAGCGTTTTAGACATAAACATTTGCCCGCATGGTGACTCTTCGTGCCGTCATTTTTAATGGCAGCACGGTGGTCTAACAGAGACATGTACTGTAGTTTAGTCCCACTTGTTTTCAGGTCTCCTCTGTGCCGCATTCCGCCGGGATGAGCACCTCTGGAGGCAGAGTGAACCGCTGATGGGCAGTGGCACCGGGAATGCCGGCCCCTGGGTTCTAGTCCCAGTTCTGCCACTTCTTAGGTGTGCATTGGACCTGGGGCAAATCATTCAACCTCTTCGAGCCTCCGATTCCTCCTCTGGGAAGCTGGAGTGGCAGCTGCCTTGATTCCCTTCCCAGGGGAGGATCCCAGGGCAGCGTGGCGGGGTGGGGGGGGGTGCCTTGAGAGCCCAAGCTCTGTCCCGAGGAGCGCTTATCACGAGGGGCCGCAAAGTTGGGCCCAGTTTGGAAGGCAGATCTGTCAGGCTGTGCGGCCGAGAGGTCGCCAGCAAGTGCAAGTAGAACTTTCTGCAGTTGGTGCTCACATCTTGACACTCTGGCCTGAGCACAGCTGGAGAGAGAGACGGAAGGAGCAAACACAGCAGAGGGGAGATCGTGCCTCAGGAAGGGAGGCCTGACGGGGCCCGAGGGGTGGCGCCTGGCCTCCTTACCCCTGATAATTAGATTGTGGGGTTGTCTTAGCCCGAGAGCAAACACTTGGCCTGCAGCCCTCCTGGAGACACATTTTTCAAGCGGGTCTTTGTTCTCAAGACCCTGTTGTGTCGGGGAGGGGCCTGCTTGAGGCTGACGGCAGCCACCATTGATTGAGTGCCAGGCGCCTGCTGGATGCTGTGCCAGCTGCCCCCGTAATCCTCTCCCCAGCAGCAGGCAAGGTGGGTTCTTCATTGGCGTCATTTCCCGAGGAGGAAACGGAGGCTCGCGGAGCATGCCCGACATTGCACGGGCACGTGGGGCAGCGCGAGGGTTTGGACCAGGTCTGTCAGCCCGCTCTGCGCTTCCACTGTGCCTGCGGGATTGAGAAGCCCTCCGCCCGCTGTCCCTTTGTCTCCAGTCCTGCCTGGCCAGGTGCTCGTCATTGGAGTCCCCGTGTGTCCCCGTGCTGGCGACGCCCTTCTCCCGTGGCGCTGCCCACGCTACCCTCTCAGCTCCTCCCGGCTCATCTGCACAGGCGGTTCCTCCTTCCAGAGCCCTTGCCGCCAGCCCTCCCCGGACCTACGTCCCCTCTGTGCCGGGGGCTCCCTCACTCACACAGCACTTCTCCTCTCCGGACGGCTGGCAGTCCTTCCTCGGTGTCGCACGTTGTTATTTTGTCTTCCCAGGTAGACTGTAAACGGGTGGGTTTCTGCGTCATGAGAGAGCACTGAACCTGGCGTCCTAAGGCAGTGTCGGGGTTCGAACCCCGGCCCCCTTGTCTCGTGTCTGGTTGGCATCCGGCAAAGCACCCCCCTTCGCGGAGCCTCCCCTTGCCCAGCCAGCCATGGTTGTGCCCCTGCCTCTGCCGCCTCCTTTGTAGGGTGGGGAGAGGTGCCAGCAAGGGCTCTTTGGGGCCGGGTCAGGGGCTCAGTACTCAGATAGAAGCCCAGAGGGTCGGTTTTCGTGGGGACTTATCATCATCTGGCCTAGGCTCCTGATTTTATAGATGAGGAAACTGAGGCCAAAAGAAGGGGATGGCCCTTTCCCAGTTGTGTACAAAGTGTACATTTTGGTGGGGGAGGGCATTGAAGGACTCGCCATGCTTTATTTAATGACTTTCCTTCTTTTTCCCCCGCAAGGAGTATCTTCCAATCATAGTGACGACTCTCCATATAGCTGGTCTCTTCCACCTTATCATCCATCCTCTGAAAAGTACGAGAACACCAAGGTAAGGTCGTGAAAGGGGCACTGGCCTGAAGAGGAACCTCTTCTTCCCTGTCTCGCAAATTAAGGTTAACTATTGCGTGTGCAGCACGTGCGTCCTTTCCAGCTGGCTATATGGTGGGCTTTGTGGGCTTGGTTTGTGATCATGACCTGGCAGGGATGAGTGTTGGAATCTTGAGCATTAGGTCCAGCGGAGAGGTGGCTGCATTTTAGAAGCTGGCAGGGATGCCTTGCTCTAGAAGCTTATGCTGTAGTGTGCAAGACTCACTTAATGGCTCCTTCGTGCTCACTCTGGATAAGGCTCTGTGCAGAGGGTTCGTTATAGGAGATGCCGAGACATGGAAGGACGAAGAGAGACCTGTGCTCTAAGCACCTCAGCCCAGATTGGGAGAAAGGCTTTCCGTCTATCTGTCTTGTCTGTCTGTCTTGGGCCTAATGGATATGTTCAGGTGTTGAGACCTTTGATAGGGGCTTTAAAATTTTAAAGCATTATGAAAAAAAGGAATCTATAAGGAAACTTAATCTCGGTTCAGAAGAGCCCCCGATGTATAAATGCAACTAAAACTTACATTTAAGAAATTCAGGAAGACAGCTGGAGTGTTGAGAAATGACATGTTTCTCAGAGGATTTTAGAGCCATCGTGTGGAGAAGGGTGTGGATTTGGGGAGGTTGGTGGGGTGCAGAAAAGTGTTCTAAATTCATGACAACTTTCATGTCAGAAAACAGTGAAAGCCAGCGGGCTCTGGCCCTTGGCTTGTGGCTTGAGTATTAAGAGAATGAGATCGGAAGACCCCATCTCAATGCTTCTGTTCCCTGAAGTCATCTTGCTACTTTTAGTAGCCTCACAAATGCCAGGTCCCTGTGCCCATGTCCCACGTCATTCTCAAGACGGTGGGTCTGACTGCACCAAATCCCTGGCGGTGCTGCAGACCATGTGAACGTGAGCAGGTACTGGGGGGCAGATGGCGGCTGCCCTGCCCAGGGCGGTGTGGACAGGGCAGAGCTGTGAAAGGATGCTCCTCGGTGAGATGCCCCTGGGTATCTGTGAGGTAGAAGTCGTGGTCAAAACTGAAACTGGCCTTGTGGCCGACGTGGCCACTTTAAGAAACGAAGCGGTAGGTTCCATCCTGTGCATGGTGGAGTTGAGGATCTGGAAATTCCATGAACTGTCACTTTATCTAGTTAACTGTGACCCTGTCACTTATACGTTTTAGTCTGTCGTTGAAATTGAAAACAGCTTCTTTTTTCCTTTCCCTAATGACTAATGATGTGAAGTATCTTTACATGTGCTTATTGGCCATTTGTATATCTTCTTTGGGGAAATATCTATTCAAGTCCTTGGTCTACGTTTTTTTATTGTTGAATTAGAGACAGATTTTTTTTTGAATCGTGAGTTTACTTCGGTTTCCTTTAATTAATTATGACCTAGAGACAGAGAATGAACAACGAGAAGCGAACTAAGTTCTGCTGGATTTCTGGCCTCTGCCTGGAAAAGAAGAAACGCTTCTCTGTTTTACTTCTACTTCTATGTGCCCGTGTAGTCTGGATGACTAATACTTAATGTGCTCGAAATATAAACGTTAAATCCATTGTGGGGAACTTTCATGACTTCTGTTTCTTGCACTTAAAAAGCTGACTTTGTATGTTTTGTTTTGGAAGACCTGCAGGGGACCAGACGGAGAACTCCATGCCAACCTGCTGTGCCCTGTGGATGTGGCAGATGTGCCCGAGGGCACCCTGCCTGACAAGCAGAGCACCGAGCAAGCCATACGGTTGTTGGGAAAGATGAAAACGTCTGCCAGTCCTTTCTTCCTGGCTGTGGGCTATCATAAGCCACACATCCCCTTCAGATACCCCAAGGTGAAGAGCTGGCTGACGGCTGATCCAGCACAGCTGTGACAGCTGTGTCATAGTGAAGGTGGCCACGTCCTGCCGTCCCTTGTCACCAGGGACGCCTGATGGCACTAGTATACTCAGTCGTATGAAGATGGGTTTCAGAGGTCAAGGCTAAGAAGTAGGCTTAGGACACGTAAGAATCTTGTTAGAAACGCTTGGCTTCTACTTCCTCCACTGGAGGGTTTTTCCCTAGAAGTCAGTGAGTCATCACGGAAAAGGGATGCAGAGCTGGCCACCGAAGCCTGCAGTAAGTGGCGGTCCTTGGTACAGAATTCCAGGAGATGTGAAGCCCTCTTCAGTAACTGCCTTTCCCCCTGAGCCCTGAAACACAGGGCACCATGTGACTTGTTGGAGGCTCGGATCCTGCACTTGCGTGTGTATCATTTAGAGTATGTAGTCTCTTCTTTTTCAGAATATTTTTCAGTTTTTTCCTATCATGTTTTCCCCGGGCCTGAGCAGCCCACCCTTTTGACTTTGCAAAGCATGCCCGTCACTTGCGATGGGCGTGGAGACCAGAGACGTGCTCTTTGATGCTGTGAGTGTCGCGCTTTGATTGGCCCAGGGGATCTCACCTTCCTAGCAGGAGCTGTCAGCCCCGCTTGATGGAGTGAGACCAACTTCTGTCTCTCGTGCAGAAGGAGTTAACCTACAAGGCCTGACTGTGATCCGTTGAAAGGCCTGCTCCTGAGGTTGACCCTTGGCCTGGCCTCTGGGAACCTGGATCTCGGGAGTGTTCCCACCATTCCCAGAACTGCCAAGTGGCTCCCTAGGCCTGAACTGTTCACAGAAACCCCTCCTTTCCTGCTTCGAGTCTGGGATTTTGATGTGTGCAGGCAGAGGGTGCCTGCGTGACCAGCCCCAGTAAAAATCCCGGGTGCTGAGGCTTTCACGAGCCTCTGCTTCCCTGGCAGCAGCGTTGTGCACATGCTGTCACACAGCTTGTTGCTGGTGGAATTGCGCGCATCCTGTGTGATTTCACCGGGGGAAGACTCTGGCAGCCTGTGCCTGGTTTCCCCCCAGATACCCCCTGTGACAATCCCCTTTGCTGACTGTGGCTGGTATCCTTTCTCTGCAGTAATTGCAGCCCTGAGTAGGGCTGTGTGCGGACTCCTGTGTGCTCTCCCAGTGAATTTCTGAGCGTGAGGCTGATTTGGGGAACTGGCCACACCTCTGCACACCTTTTCTAGCTGGAGGGGAGGTGGCAACGGGAAGAGGAGGGCATCGGTCTCTATGAGGGAAGAGAGCTGTCGCTGCTCGGTTTGTAGGAAACCAGCCGACTCGTTTCATTACCACTGGCATCTCGTGAGAGTGACTTTCAAGTGGGGGAGATACTTGTGTAAACGCATCACAGGCTTAGAGAAGGGGCAGCGTAAACACCAGTAGAGGCCCAGCCTTGTGCCTTTGCCAGAAGAGTGACGGCCTGGTGGCTTTGTGTGCTTTTCCCCCAAGGAATTTCAGAAGCTGTATCCCTTGGAGAACATCACCCTAGCTCCTGATCCCCAGGTCCCTGCCGGCCTCCCTCCTGTGGCCTACAACCCCTGGATGGATATCAGGCAGCGGGAGGATGTCCAAGCCTTAAACCTCAGCGTGCCCTACGGCCCGATTCCCGCCGACTTTCAGGTATCAAGGACGGATTTGGGGGAAGTATTGGGCACTTACGGCATGATGTCACGAGTGTTGCTGCTTTTCTCGGTGGACATGCTCTGTCCCTTGTGTCTTGCTGAGAACTTTCTCTGTGTGAGGCGGCCTGTGGAGCACCGGGGTTGGGGCGAACGTGCTGGGTGGATAGAGAGTCTCCCCTTCAGCATCTCCGCTTCCAAAGAAGGGGGCGTCTGGAGATCTGGGGACTTGCGGGCTGTGGGCCCGGCATGGGGAGAAGCCCTGGGTGACCCTCACTAACTGATAGGAGATGCTATTGAATCCAGGTGACAGTCTGTCAGGTGTAGGGTGGTTGGCGACTCCCGTGCCACCCAGAACTCTCAGTTTGCCGGTCCTGGCGGGTCGCCTGTGGGAAAGCCGACACGGGCATCCATTACTCTCAGGAGGTGGCTTGGTGAGCGGGGCCTTGGCACAGAGGGAGCTGGGGCACCAACACGGCCAGCCCCGTCCAGCTGCAGTGTCTGGGGTCCGTTTGCTGCGACGTGGGGGTGACTCGTCAACCCCACTCTCCCTGGCATGCAGAGCGCACGCTGAGCAACACTCTTTCTGGAATATTCCACACGCAGCCCTGCCTTTCTGTTAGCACGTGAACACTCCAGCAGCCCGTCTACAGGGGAAGGAAGAGGACAGCGTTTTCACAGTGCTTCCTGGGCCACCTGCGTCAGAACCCCCACGAGGGCTCGTTAGAAGCACGGCATCCTGGTCCCACTCAGAGTCAGGGAGTTGGAGGCTGGGAGTGGGGCCCGAGAACCTGCATTTCCAAAAACACACACCTGGTGATTCTAATGCAGGCAGAAGTTTGAGAACCGCTGCCGTAGGCTACGTGTCGAGACAAAACAAAACCAGACAGACTGCCCAGGTGTCTCTTGCTCTCTGGCCCCTGTGTTCGGCCGGCAAGGGTTTGAGCGAGGAGGGCTGTGCAACCCTGCGTCTCGGGTGGCAGTGGTGAGAGTTTGAGAAGCAGTGGGCCCGTCGGTCTGTTGGGTTCCTACTTCCCCCCGCAGGGGTTCTGAGAGCGGGGTTTGCTGGAGTTGCAGCCCCGAGGCTGCGCCTGGACATCGCGTTAGTGACAGTCACTCCCGATGACCCTATCATTTTGGACTGCACACCGGGAAGGGTGCTCAGCGTTTTGTGTGTGCTCTTTGGTCCCCGTGGGACCCTAGCGGGGGGCCTGCTGTCTCTGTTGTCCAGGTAAGGACACTAGAGACTTGCCCAGATCACGCGTTACTGCGGAGGAGCGCCCCCTGGGAGGTGTGATGCCAGAGCCCCCGCGTTTGTTTCGCTGGCTCTGACCGGTCTAGGTTCGAATTCCAGTTACCCCACACCAGCTGCGTGGCTGCTGACGAGTCATCCTGTCTCCCTGAGCCTCGGTGTCCTTATCTGCAGGGTCGACACAAGATGGGGGAAGGTTTTCCGTGATGACAGCTGCTCTGGAGTTTTCAGCGGGGACCACAGTGAATGTGGGGGGGGTGTCTAGGGCAGTGTCGGCTGCAGGGCGAGGGTGCCTTCCCGATTGTCTCAGCCCCTCCTCTCACCACGCGCACTGGTGGTGTAGCTGCCCGGTTGGACACACAGGTTCACAGTGACCCAGAGGACCTCCCTGGCGTACTCGTGTGCTGACCCCCGCCCCACATTCACCTCGCACTTGGCCCTGCTCATCATGTACCTGTAGCCCTGGGTCTCGAGCCTCTGGGTCCTGCGCCCCCTTCAGCCGTCAGCCCTCTGACTCAGTGCCGCGTGCGTGAGCCTGGGGCCACGCGGGGATCGCTGGTGCGTGGCCCCCTCTCCCCCGTGTCCAGCTCCCCTCTGGGCTTTGCTCCCTGCCTGGATAGCTGAGGCCCCGTGGCCCGTCACTTACTCTTCCCGCCAGCTCCTGAGCACGCGCGTCCCTCTATCCTCGTCCTGACTGCAATACCCTGACCACAGGACAGTCCGGCCACCCTGTCTGCTCTCAAGCCCGCGTCCTGAGGCAGGGACATGCTCGCATGCCCAGTCCTCTGCTCGGCTCCCTCTTGCCCTCTGCAGCTGCTCTGAACCCTCACCACTCCCCTCCAGCTCCTCACGTCCCTCTGCCCCCCCCCCGCCCCCCCCCCCCCGCCCTTCTGCCCCGTCTCTCAGCAGATGACTGTACTTCCTGTTTCAGAGGCAGAGGCTGGTTACCAGTCTGAGGAAGGGGAAGGCACAGGCTGAACGTGGGTACACATCCTGGCTGTGCCCCTTGCCAGCTGTGTGTCTCTAGGCAAGTTAATCAACCTCTCGGAGCCTCGGAGTCCTCCTGTGTAAGATGGAAGTGGTAATGCTCAGCTTCCGGGGTGGTTCGGAGGATCAGATGGCACCCAGCAGGTACTTGGTAAACGGGAGCTGTAAATAACCTCCCTCACTTGCAGCCAGAATTGTGCGTGCCTGTGTGCTGAGCTTGCGGCCTTCCCCCTGGTCTCAGGAGAAGAGCAGCAGGGACTCGGTCCCTCCCTACCCCGTTCCCCCTCCTTGCCGTCTCCTCCCACTTCCGTGCAGCCTGTGCATCGGCTGCCGTCCATCCCATCTTCAGAAGTACCGCCTCCCTGGGCCCCCTCCACGGGAGAATGAGTGCGACGTGCTCTGTTCTGCTGCGTCTGTGGCCTCACTGCCCTTTCATTCTTCGTCCACCTCTGTGCGGCCTCCTGCCTCCCCATCCCACTAAGCGCTCTCTCATCTGGGTCAGCCCTGATCTCACTGGCAAATAAAATCCAGCCTCGGGGGTCCTGACCTTCCCTGAATCCCTGCTGCCCTCTCACTGTTGAGAGAGCTACGCCTTCTGGAAATGTCTGCTTCCTGGGCTTCCTTGCCAAGCCTCCTGGGCCCCCTCCCCTGCAGGCCCCAGGGCAGGCGCCTCGTTCTGTGTCAGCTGTTTAGGAGGTGCTGCCCTCCGGGCTCAAGCCCAGGGCCGCCCCCCGTGTTGTTTATGCTCTTCGCCCCCAGCCCTGCCCGCCGAGCCTGCTGTGGATGAGCCCCGGAACAGCCTCTCCAGCCCCACGCTCCTGATTCCAGAGGCGTCTGTCTGTCCACTGGTTGGTAGAGGCCCCGTGTGGCTGCACCGCCGTTCCTGCTCTTCCTTTTCTCCTCCTCCTGTGCCCCCGCCCTCTCCGTGCCATTGAATCGTGCTGCCAGCCTAGCGAGAAACCTGGCGTTCCCTTTGGCGTCCTCAGCTCCTTTCCCTTCCCCGCTCCTACCCCATCTCCCTAAATTCCTCTTCAGCACCACTTTGTGGACCACCGCAGTGGTCTGGTCTTGGTTTGGCGCTTCAACAAGCGACCGTGGAGGTTGCCCCGTGCGCGCAGCACTGATCTATTGCTGGTTCCCCTCGAGCCCCTGGCGTCTGCTTCGGGCTCTCGGTGGGGGACCCTCATTCGCCTGCAGCCCAGATTGTGTCACTTCCTCTCCTCGGGTGACCTCGGTGCCTTCGTTGGCCTCCAACCCGAGACCTCCACTCTGTGAATGGACCCTCTGGGTCCGTATCATCTGGCCGTGACCTGCCTTTCCAGTGTCCTGTCCTGCTCCCCGGCGCTCCCATGTGACTCTCCAGCCACACTGGTCAGCTTGCTGGCCCAAAACATGCCCTGGCCTGCGGTGACTCCACACTGTTCCGCGCTCTGCAGCCCCTGCTTAGGGCATCCGACCCCGCTTGTCTGACTGCCAGCTCCTTTCCTCAAATGCTAACTCCTCTGTGAAGCCTCCCCCGATTTCCCCAGGCCGACTCGAGGGCTCATCCTCCAGGGTCGTCCCTGGGCCCCACCAGTAACGCACCTTTTCTTGTCTCCATTCCTGTCCTCACTGGACGGGTGGCTCAGTGAGGTTGACGACCACATCTGCTGCTTCTCCTGTCTCCAGGGGCCCGCATAGGAAGGAAGGCTTACCCTTGACTAGTACACAGCCATCCTGACAGGTGTCTTTGGTCCCCAGGAGGACCGAAGTTCCCCAAGTTACAGACTGGAGACTTTTATCTACCAGAAGATAGAAGTAGCCAGGGTTCAGCATAATCCTTCTAGAAGGTTAGATGGATATCCATTGTCTTCACCACCTGGGGAGAGGGGGGGGGTCTCATGACTGTTCTCACCGCGGGTCCGGCTGAGAGGACCAGCTGGGACACACGGAAGCTGGGGCTGGTCTGATGGCTCGGCGGTTCCCTCGCTTCTCCCCTGTGGCAGGGGTAGGGGATCTTTTTCTCTAAGATTTGTGAACAAGGCGGCGGAAGAGTCAGCCCAGCAGAGGCTGCGGCTCTTTCACGGAGCCTATCTGCTCTGGAAGCCACTCTGGGGTGGGGGGTCCGTGGGGGGTGGGCTGCTCTCCCTCCTCCGTCACCGTTGTCCTGCCTGTGGGCAGTTTGTTGGGACGGAAGCGCACGTGCCAGCCACAGGCTGTGAGGGAAGCGGCTGCCATCCACTGGGTTACGAAGAGCTCAGGGGAGAGGCCCACTCACGGCCGTTGTTAGAGTTGAATTGCGTCCCTCAGAAAGATCCGTGGAGGTCCTGACCCCCAGGGCCTCAGAATGCGGCCTTGTTTGGAAATAGGGTCATTGCAGGTATGACTGGTCAGGATGAGGTCATGCTGCCGTGGGCTGGCCCCTGACCCAGTATGGCTGGGGTCCTTGTGAGAAGAAGCGCCAAGGATTGTGGCCACCACCAGAAGCTAGAACGTTCCTCCCCTGGAGCCTTCAGAGAGGCTCTGCCGACACCTTGAGTTCAGACTGCTGGCTTCCAGAACTGGGAGGCGATCTGTTTCTGTTGTTTGAAGCCACCAAGTCTGTCATACTTTGTTAGAGCGGCCCAGGAAATGAATACAGCTATATGGTATCTTTGGTATGACCCTCAGCGGACTTTGGAAGGCTGAGGGGTCAGTTTCTGTGTACATGGTTGTCTCCTGGGACCCGCAAGAGTATGTGAAGGAGACAGAAAGGAATAGTAAGTGGCACATCCATGTGCTGTGATCTGTGCCCTGAAGTGAAAACTGATTTGCTTAGCAAAGAATCCTCCTTGTGGACGTGCAGGTTTCGCTGTGGCTGTACGGGGTGGGGGTGGGGGGTGAGATGGCAGGGAATGGAGTGTTCCGTTTTGGCTAAGAAGGTCATCGAGGGCACCCGAGGGCTGGGGCCCGGGAGGGGTGCTCAGGCGAGCACTGCAGTCGCTCTCACTATTCTTCTTCGTTAAATTGCAGCGGAAAATCCGCCAGAGCTACTTTGCCTGTGTTTCGTATTTGGATACGCAGGTTGGCCACCTTTTGAGTGCTCTGGACGATCTTCAGCTGGCGAGCAGCACGATTGTGGTGCTCACCTCGGATCACGGTAAGCGTTTTGAAATGCCCAGGTGAGTCGCTCAAAGCATTGGACCTTTTCTGTGGAAACTTCCCTAGACTGCCTGAAATAGGTGTGTATTCTCTTTTGTGAACCAGCAGTGCCCTGAGTCTGGAGTCTTGGGTGCTTTTATGGCCACCTTGTTAGTCCTGGGACTTCTCTCCACAGAGGCGGGCCCTCTTTCGGGTCAAAGAAGCATCTTGGGGGCTTGGGTGGTGGAGCTGGGTGGGTGGGGGACCTTGTAGTAACTGTTGTTTCTTGGTGAGCTCAGCGGGAGCCGTCCATTTGTGTGGGGAGCCCCTTTGACCCATTTCTAACCTAGAGGGTTGGAGGAGTTTTAGTTTCTCTTACGAAGATCCAGAACAATCCTGGCAGAGCCCAACAAGGCCCGCAGACCCGACTTACCCCTTCCACCCCCAGCCCCGCTGTCCTCTCTGCCAGGAGCCTGGGGTTCACAACTCTGTGTCTCTTCCAAGGCAGTTTCTCACTTTTTCCAAAAGTGGAAACATCTTCTTGAAAAAATTCTTTTTAATTTTGGCCAGGGTGTGTTTGAGGCCAGTGAGCCCCGGTTATCCTCCCTCACCCCCAAATTGTTTTGAAGCCAGTCTCAGGTGGTTTAGCTTTCTGGACAGTATTTCTAATAAATTTAGCTCTTTTTTTTTTTTTTTTTTTTGCGGTACGCGGGCCTCTCACTGTCATGGCCTCTCCCACTGCGGAGCACAGGCTCCGGACGTGCAGGCTCAGCGGCCATGGCTCACGGGCCCAGCCGCTCCATGGCATGTGGGATCTTCCCGGACCGGGGCACGAACCCATGTCCCCTGCATCGGCAGGTGGACCCTCAACCACTGCGCCACCAGGGAAGCCCAAATTTGGCTCTTTTGAAGTTTAACCACACTGCCGTCATCCTACCTAGAAACAGGAAAACAGTTCTCTAATATCGTCGAATATGAAGTGGGACAGTGTTAGATCATAGCATGTGCTCACTGTAGCAAGAAAGAAGTATGCAGAGCACATCATGTAGGGCCAGAGCACCCTGCCCTTTATCCCACCTGCCCAGAGCTAACTGGTGCTGACAGATCGGGGGTCCATCCACCTGCCTTCAGTCGTGCATATACATGGGGCTACATGTCATGAGTGTGTATGTGCATAACGTATCGTCGTGGAATGTGGCAGGATTGATTGTGCTTGTGTCCTGTTTTGTTGCCTGGCTTGTTTTTTCCACTTAATGTCATAGACAGTTCTCCGTGTCATTTCTCACAGGCCTACCTTGCACCTTGTAAAGACCCGTATTGTGAAGTGCGGAGGTGTAATTTTTCACCGTTTGCCTAACGATCTGCCATCCCCCTCCGGGCCGTCTTCTCAGCGCCCAGTTTTCTCCCCCGGTGCTTCCACAGTCCACTGCAGCCCCGTGAAGGCAGGGTCACTCGAAGCTCGCTTTGGCTCGGAGGCAGCTGTAGCTGACTACAAATGGCCCTTCTCAAAAGGCCCTCCTGGGACTGCCTACATCCGAACCACAGAAGCCTTCCTGAACCCGTGCACAGCAGCTTTTTGTAGTTTGGGTTACTTTTTAATACGAAATACTCAACATACGGTCTCTTTTATATTTTTCATATCAAAAAGGGCACTCAAACATGAAGTGATTGGAAAGTTCCATCTTGGGGTATTCAGACTATCTTTTGCTTTAAATGAGGGTTGGGGGTGGTTTTTAATCAAGGTTAAGGGTCTGGAATCAGAAGTTATGTTTTCTTGGTCTGTGGTATGTCTTAAAAATTGAAAAAGATACTATTTTTAGAAGCTGAGCGATTGTGCCACAGTCTCACAGGGAATGAAATGGCGTCTAACTGAAATGAGCAAGCCACGAGGTGATTATTCTTTTTCTGTCATTCTGTGTGCTTTTTATGAACCAGGGTGGGCTCTAGGCGAACACGGAGAATGGGCCAAATACAGCAATTTTGACGTCACTACTCGCGTGCCCCTGGTGTTCTATGTTCCGGGAAGGACGGCTCCGCTTCCGGCGGCAGGCGACAAGCTTTTCCCATACCTCGACCCTTTTGATTCCATCTCAGAATCAGTGGAGCCAGGTATGAAAATTCAGGAGTAATGCTGCTTGACTTGGCCTTCCTGTGCGCGGAAGGGGAGTGGCAGGCCCAGAGCTAACGAGTATGGCCCCTGTCCACAGGGGCTTGGAGAGGGGGAGGGACAGAGGAGCAGCTGGCACCCCCAGGATGGGGAGGGCTGTCGTAGAGGTGACGGCAGTGTGTTCTGAGATCAGAGGAGGGGGTAGCAGACTTCACTGGGGCAGGGGCTGCCTGCTTACCGGTGAGCAGAACTCCGTTACCTGCTCACTTCTGGCCGGGACTCAGCTCGGCAGCGTCTCCATCTGCTGAAGCACCGGCTCTGTCAAAGCAGTGCTTCTGCTTTTGCCGTCCCCAGGAGTGAAGGGCAAGTTTACTTTGACCTCCGTGTCCCAGTCCTCCCAAGCTGGTCCTCTCCAGGTAGCGTCAGGCCCCTGGCTATCCTGGTCTTTGTCTTCCAAACAGCTCCAGTTTGAGAAAGCGCTTCTGGAAACATCACTTGGACAAGATGGCCGTCCCTGCCATGGGGGTCGACCTGTGTGGGTTCTCTGTGAGTTGTCTCCTGACTCGATCTGCTCAGCGCAGAGATGAGTCATGTACTTCAGGTGGCATTTGCCCTTTCTGGAGCGCTTTTGCTGTGAACTCTACTAAACCAGGTTGCTCCCTTTCGGGACTTCTGCATTTAATCCATCTTGTTAGCATCTAAATCCTGCACTTTCTATCGATTCTTGTTTAAATTTTTCCTGGTTCTGGCCCATCATTCTGGCCTTTCTGGATCTTCCCGAGTTTGTTTTCTACGGCCCAATTTTATTTTCCACACATTTCATTTCTGTGTGCTGCATGCACTGTCTTCTTTCATGTCATTGATAAAAATGTTAAACAGTTTCAGGGCATGATTATAGCCCTTTATTTGCTGGGAGAAATCTTCTGACAGGTTGAGAATCCTTTTTGAAACTTCAGTTGGGAGGTGTTCAGGTTGTAAATTGATGTAACTGCACTGTCATCCTGCTTATTTCCAAATTTTATCTCTAGCCTGTATGTCTTCCCTGATCTTTGGACTTGGATTTCCAACAGCCTGTCCCAGTTGGCCAGTCTAACGTGCCCAAAGCTGAACATTTGACCTTTGACCTTAAGCCTTTCTTTTGACGCTCTTCCCCGTCTCAGGAAATGGCAGTGGTTGCCCAGGCCACAAAACCATGGGGCCATCGGCCCCTGTCTTTCTGTCATAGTCTGTACGCGATTCGTGGTGTGTCAGCAAGCCTGTCACTCTCCATTCAGAATATGTCCACACCACTTCCCCCCACCGACCGTCACCACCGTGGACCACACTGCCACCATCTCTTGCTAAACTCTCCTTGCGTGTGACCTTGATCCCTGGAGTTTTTCCTCAGTGATCCTGACTTTAACAGCCACAGTGAGCCTGATAAAACCCAAGTCAGGTGGTGTCACAGCCCTGCTCTGGGGCCTCCTACACTCCTGTGTCAAGTCTGAGTAAAAAGTCCTTACAGTGGCCGACAAGGCCTGTCGTCCTGTGGGACCCCACATCTCCCTGACCTCGTGTCTTTCAAGCGTCCGGGGCGGCTGTCTTGTACAACGACCCGCAGCCTGGATTTGTCTGATTGCTTTCTCGGGACTAGATGCAGGGTGAACACTTCGGACGCGTGCACACATGTGAGGCTGTGGCTCCAGCCGTACCCATCGGGGGCACTTCATGGCGGCCTGTGCCATTATTAGTGATGCCAAGCTTGACGGCCTGGTTAAGGCGGTTGTGTCAGCCAGGTCTTGCCCTTGTAAAGGTATCTTTTAAAAAAGCTTTCTTCACCTTTTTTCTTTTTATTTTACTTACAAACCAAATGCGTCAGAAATAAAATTTAGCCGCATAGAGCAAGCGCTTAATGATCCAGAAAGGCTAGAATGATGGTCCAAGGTCACAATAAATTTTAACAGGAGTCAATGTAAAGTGTAGGATTTAGACTTTAAAGATAAGTCACCCATAATGAGATACCATTTCACACCCATTAGAACGGCTGTTATCAAAACAAACAGCAAACAACAGTACTGGCAAGGGTGTGGAGACATTGGAGCCCTCAGACATTGCCGGTGGGAATGTAAAATGGTGCAGTCGCTGTGGAAAAGAGTTTGGTGGTTCCTCAAAAGGTTAAACATAGAATGGTCGTGTGGCTCGGCAGTTCCACTCCTAGGTATATAGCTTCACAGAACTGAAAACAGGCATTCAAAGAAAAACGTGCAGAAGAATGCTCATAGCGTTAATTAATAGCCAAAAGGTGGGAGCAACCTGAGTGTCTATTGACAGATGAATGAATAAGCAAAACGTGGCGCGTCCATACAATGGGATATCATTCAGCCTTAAAGGGAAGGAAACTCTGACATGGGTGGACTCTCTGAAGACATGCTGCTAAGTGAAAGAAGCCAGGCACAAAAGGACACATACTCTAGATGTGTCCACATACACGTGCCTAGAGTAGTCGACACATAGAGACAGAAAGTAGCAGGTGGGTGCCAGGAGCTGGGGGGTGGCGACGGGGAGTTGTGCAAGGTGAAGAGAGTTCTGTGATGGATGGTGGGGCTGTACTTAATGCCACCGACCCAGACACTACAAAATGGTGGTAAACTTTATGTCGTATGTATTTTACAATATGTCGTATGTATTTTACAATAATAAAAGGGCGATGGATCAAGTGCAGACTTCCAAAAAGGAGTGATCCGCGGGGTGATGCTACTGTGAGGCTCGGAATAGCCTGTCCTCAACAGACTTCTCCCCAGCGGTCTGGGCCTCCACCGATGACCCTTGCCTGAATCACTTAAACACTGGTGGGTCCTAAATTCAAATCGTGTTTAAAAGTGCCAGCAGGCTGAGGGCACCTTCATTCTGCCCTGCTATCGGGTGAGGTGCCGAGTCGGCTTTGTTCCTAAAACTCTCGGGCTAAGAATAAATGCTGTAAGAGAACAGAAGTCGGCGTGTAGGGCCTGGGCGCGCGCTCTGCTCGTGCTGCCTGGCTGCAGCAGGCTTCTGCGCTGTAACCCCCTCCGCCGGGCTGCTTCCTCTTTCAGGCCGGCAAGCCGGGGACCTCGTGGAACTGCTCTCTCTCTTCCCCACGCTCGCGGGACTTGCAGGGCTGCCCGTCCCTCCTCGCTGCCCCATCCCCTCGTTTCACGTGGAGCTGTGCCGAGAAGGCCGGAACCTTCTGAAGCATTTTCAGGTCCGTGACTCGGAAGAGGATCCGTACATCCGTGGGAATCCCCGTGAGTTGGTGGCCTATAGCCAGTACCCCCGGCCTGCAGACTCTCCTCAGTGGAATTCTGACAAGCCGAGTTTAAAAGATATAAAGGTCATGGGCTATTCCATACGCACAGTAGACTATAGGTATACTGTGTGGGTTGGCTTCAATCCCCGGGAATTTCTGGCTAACTTTTCAGACGTCCATGCAGGGGAACTGTATTTTGTAGCTTCTGACCCTTGGCAGGATCACAATATGTATAATGACTCCCAAGGTGGAGCCCTTCCCCGATCGTTGACGCCTTGAGTTTTGCCAACCGCAGAGGGCATATATAACGCTCTCCTGTCCAGCTGGTGAGAGAAGGAATTACACTGGTTATTTCGTGCTTACCTGTAATATTGGAAGCAACCCCAGGGGTAGGCAGTCAAAACAGGCGTCAACAATTTGGCCTCAGAATACGTAACAGCCGAAACTTTTGATTTGTCTTTATAATTGGTAATTGGACTGGGCTGAACCTCTTCTTTCCTTTTTTTTGGAACACTCATAGCTTATTTGTTGAATGAATAAGTACAGAGTGAGCAAACTAACATTGTCATAAGTTTAGCTATCAAGACCATAATAACTGAACATAACACTGTACTCAAGAAATACTTTAAGTATTTGTGAAATTTAGTGCATTTCAAAAAGTAACCACATGTCAAATTAGGTGTGACACAAAGTTCCTAGTTCTTTCGTTTATAATTTAATAATATATCTTATTTAGCCCAATATATTCAAAATATTATATCAGCATGTAATCTAGGTTTCTTTTTAAAATGTAAAATAATAATGCTAGATGCCAGTGCCTTGAAGTCTAGCTTCAGTTTTTCTAAGATCACAAATTTTCAAATCCCAAAATAAAATATGCATGAAGTGATTCATATGGAATTTCTACATCAAATAATAAATAATGCTCACTAAACTAGAGGCATGAGATGTATGAGAAATTCAGTTAAAATTTTTCAGAGACTTTCTGGCCCAAATAATAATTTGTTAGCAACTAATATGACCTTTGAACCCAAAGGCATCTATTAAAAGGTATCTTTATTCACAGTGGAAAATAGTTACAGGCATAACTGTATCCATGAATTGAGTCATTCAAAACCATTAATGTTCTCCTTCTCTAGAGATGGTTGGTTGCAAACATCCATTTATCCAGGAGACAGGAAATAGTCTACTTTTTAAGTGCTGATTAAAGACAACATTAATTTTGTTAAATTCTAAATTATTTTGAGAACTGTGAAAATTTTTCATTAATATAATATTAGGTGATTTCTAATCCCCCAGAATGTGGTTCTGTATTCCCTAAATATGAAAGTAACCAGAAAGGCAGGTGGTAGTAATAAGCTTAGCCTATGTCATCTTAAAAATGCTGGAGTATTCACAGGTCATATTCACAGCACGTTGAAGTTGATTAATTATCAGTAGTCACCAGAAGAGTCAAGCACTCTCTTAATAGACATCTAATGTAGTCCTGTATCAAAGTAGCCTTTAGTAATTCTTTGTCTACAAGTGCTGCTTTGGTATTTAAATATTTGTGAAACAAAGTACGGCCAATTAAGTTACTGCACTGTGTTAAATTGTAAACAAAAAGGCAAGATATTATAAGATTACTTCAAATCAGTAAAATTTCGAATACAGATTTGTTTTTACTAATTAGCCTACAGTGGAGGCATATACGGTAACACGACAATCTTCTAAGCGATTAAGTGACAGTGTTCTGGCAACAGGTTCTGCCTGAGGAGTGGAGGGCCCTATTCCTCTCTCCTGATCCCGAAGCTCGAGTCTCTTCTGGGAAGCCTCAGCTTTGTAGATGGTTTCCTTCAGCCTTTTCTTGCTCCTTCTTCATCCTATCTTCTTTGTCACTCACATCACTTCCACTAAGAATCTTACAATCCGGTCAGATTCCTCATGATGTATTTTCAGCGTATTTAGCTTCATCTCCTACTGCACGGTTACAACGAGAAGTTTTCACCCAGGCTTTTATTTTGCATTCATGGTTGACTATTATATGTACACGTCATCATTTTTTTCTCTCTTTATTTCTTGAAGCACAGTTTTAGTATCAAAAATCTCCAAATTCGGGCTTCCCTGGTGGCGCAGTGGTTGAGAGCCCACCTGCCGACGCAGGGGACGCGGGGTTCGTGCCCCGGTCCGGGAAGATCCCACGTGCCGTGGAGCGGCTGGGCCCGTGAGCCATGGCCGCTGAGCCTGCGCGTCCGGAGCCTGTGCTCTGCAATGGGAGAGGCCACAGCAGTGAGAGGCCCGCGTACTGCAAAAAAAAAAAAAAATCTCAAAATTCTACTCTTGCTGAAGGCGTAATTTGAACCGTGCCAAAGAGAGCAAAGTGACATGCATTCTGGCCATTACTCACCCACGTGACCGAAGCCACAGCTGGGGCTGGGGCTGCTTTGGGGTGTTTCGCGTGTAGATCTGGCTCTGCTGGAAGTGCTTCTGTGTCCTCTTTTCTCCGCGAGGGCGTAGCCTCAGAATGCTCCTTAGGTTTTCGCTTTTCTTGGCCTCTCTTTATGAATCTCTCCTTTTAGAAGCGCGGCTGCATTTCATGTTCAGGGGCGTGCTCTTCTAAATCATCTCACGGGCGACGGTCGCTTTTTGTGTTTTTGACACTGAACCCAATTTAGAGCCACTTGTGCACGTCTGCAGCGTTCACTGGGATGAGCAGCTGCTCTCTGGTTTTCACACTTCAAAGCCAACCACATTCCTTATCTTGAATCGGCTTTGAGAAACCACGTCTTCGTTGCATCACGTAACTTTTCTCTGATCCTGCTGAGCTGGACACGTTTTATTAATGGTTCTCAAGTCACTCTTTGTAGACTTGAGCCAGGGGTTCTTTAATGCAGTTTAGTTGAAACCCGGACCAGTAATCTCAGAAATTTTGAGTGGCCCTGATCCAGTGGCTCAGAAACACGAGGGTCCCGCCTGCAGAGCTTCTGCTTCAGGGTGTCTGGGCTGGGGCCTGAGAGTCTGCACTTCGGACACATGACACTGCTCCTCCAGAGAGCGCACTTGAGAACCACTGCCCCTAGGTGTGTGCTGACCACTAGCCACTAGGCACATGTGACTATTTCAATTTCAATTAATTAAAATGAAATAAACATTTCAAAAGCACAATCTCTGTCACACTTGCGATATTTCATGTGCTCAAGAGCCAGTGTGCGTCGTGGCTACCGTATCGGAGAGCACCGATCTACAGCCTTTCCGTTGTGCCAGAAAGTGGACGAACGGAGCTGCCCTAGATTAACTCTGGGCCGATCCACCCGGCTGTTGGCGGGTTCCTCCTATGGGCTGATTCTCTACTCTGTTTGCCCACGAAGACTTGTCCGGTAGTGAGCCACATACGTTTGGTTTAAGCTTAGCGCAGGGAGTTCCCTCTGGCAATCGGTCTCTTGCCCTCCACTCCCACCGCCATCATCCTAGCCCTTCGCACCTCCTTCCCACGTAGTTTACCTCCCCCTCCTCTTTCCTCCCCTGCTCCCAAAGAATCCATGTGTCTTCCTGAAATCCTTCTTTGGTCCTGCCCTTTAAGAACACCGTTAGTGCCTACTACTGGGTCTACACAGACCTCCGCTGAGCAGTCAGAGTCTTCCCTGACTCCACAAAGCCCCTTTCCTCGGCTGACCAGTTTGCACGCTGGTCCCTGACTGTCCCTTGCCGATCCCTGCCTCCCTGCCCACCCTTAGGTTGTCCCTTCCTCCCTTCACCACCCACCCATCCATCCATCCATCCATCCATCCATCCATCCATCCATCCATGCATCCATGATCACTCTCCACCGCCCGCTCCCGTGCCCCCACTTCCAAGAGGCTGAGGGGTTTGAACTCTCTAGATTGCATCATGGGATGAAATAAACATCGCTGAGGAATCTTGTGGGCACCTTACTTTAAAAGTATTTTTTTCTGATTGTAAAATTAACATGTTAATCTTAGAAAAATTGGAAAATACAAATGTAGTAAAAGGTAAGAAAATGCATCAGTATTTTACACCAAGAGAGTCGCTTAATATCTTGTCTTTTTTGGGATGTAAATTTTTTACACCGTTACGATCATACCGTGTGCTGTATCGTGCAGTTTTATATTCCTATTCTTTCACTGTTACATGTGGCTATTACAGGTTTTTGCAAAGATACTTTATACTGGTGGTAGTATATTTTATTGTGTAATTTCATCATAATTTATTTAACCTTTCAGCTATTGGGAATTTAGTCAATTTCCAAATTTTCAGTATTGTAAATAATGTTGTGATGAGCAACTTTGTGAATGAAATGATTTTGTGTACTTCACATTACTCCCATAGGACGGGCTCTCAGTGCCAAATTGCCAAAAGCATCTCGATTTCAGTCCTTGCCCCACTCTCCTGCTCCCTTAAGGTAGTAAAACTGAAAATAAAGCAAACAAGCATACAGAGTATACAAACCTTAAAAACAAACAAAACCCCTAACCCTCACGATAATAGGTGAAAGTGGCATCCTGTATGAGCTTTGAATTCTTTGCTTATTAATGACCTTGATCCCTGTTCTCTCTGTACGATTGTTGGGCATTTGTATTTCTAGTTGTGTGAATTTGCCTTTAAATTTTAGGTTTCACTTTTATAAGTAATCAAACAAATTGCTCTTTTCCTACGTGATTTTTTTCCTGTCTTTTCCTATTAAACATGGAGACCCTTGCCGATCTAGAGATTTAATAAATATTCATATTCCTTAGCTTTTCTTGTGGTTGGTTTTTACACTTAATTCACCCTGTCTCTCCACCCCATTATCAGAATAGCATATGCTCATCTTGTAAAATTTGGAAGACGCAGGAAGTGGTGAGGATGAACAGAAGTGCGCATCCAGAGCGTGGCCGCTGCTGCCGTGGGGACATGGCTTTCTGCTCTTTCTCCTGCCCACGCCCACGTGCACAGATACGAACATGTTCACCTTGACATAGCTCACATCTACCACGTAGAATCCCTTGTCCAGCTGTTTTGGTCTAAAGTAACGTTAGCCTGCTTTTTCATGTTGTTGACAGTTCTTGGTTTGCAATTGTCATGACTGCACCACCATTCCTACAGTAATCTTTTTTTTTTGACTGAAATTCTCAAATTTTTGTATGCATTTAAAAAAAATTGTGGTAAGATACACATAACATCAAATTTACCATCTCACACGTTATTAAGTGTGCAGCTCTGTGGCGTTAAGCACAGTCACATCACAGTGTCATGCCGCTGCTGCCAGCATCCATCCTCAGAACTCTTCCTCTTGCAAAACCAAAACTCTGTCCCCGTCCAACAGTCACTCCCCATTCTTCCTCTCTCCCAGCCCCTGGTAGCCACCATTCTACTTTCTGTCTCTCTGAATTTGACTACAAACCTCATATAAGTGAAATCACACACTTATTTGCATTTTGTGTCTGGCTTCTTTCACTTAGAATATCCACTAGGTTCACCCACGTCGTAGCAGGTGTCTGAATGTCCTTCCTTTTAAGGCTGAATAATGTTCCATGGTGTGGATAGACTGCATTGTTTATTCATTCATCCCCGATGGGCACTTGGGGAGTTTCTGCCCTTAGGCTATCGCAAATAATGCTGCTCTGAACATGGGTGTACAAATACCTGTTCGAGTGTCTGCTTTTAATTCTTCTGGGCAGATACCCAGCCCATGCTCATCTCTAATCACTTAAAAATGGTGGGGAGGGGACTTCCCTGGTAGTGCAATGGTTAAGAACCCGCCTGCCAGTGCAGGGGACACGGGTTCGAGCCCTGGTCTGGGAAGATCCCACATGCCACGGAGCAACAAAGCCCGTGCGCAACAACTACTGAGCCTGCGCTCTAGAGCCCGTGAGCCACACCTACTGAAGCCCGTGTGCCACAACTACTGAAGTCCGCGTGCCTAGAGCCTGTGCTCCGCAACAAGGGAAGCCACCGCACTGAGAAGCCCACGCACTGCAACGAAGAGCAGCCCCCGCTCGCCGCAACTAGAGAAAGCCCGTGCACAGCAGCAAAGACCCAATGTGACCAAAAATAAATAATAAATAAATTTTTTTAAAACTGGTGGGGAGTGTGCTGAGAGATGAGCAAGGTGACTCACCCCGGCTACAGAGGGCAGGATTTCTCTGAACTCTAGCAAGGGGCTGGCCCTTCCCCCTCAGGCCAACCTCAGTGATGCCGGCCAGGCGCCCCGGCTGTCATACCCCACTGTGTGAGAATTTGGGGGCACACTTTCCTAAATGAGGCTCAGCCCCTTCTTGCCCAAGTCCAACCTGCAGGTTATAGCTCCTCTGAGGAGTCTCAAGCTCTGGCCTGGGCTCGGGTGTTGGGCTAGAACCCAGCTGCTCCTTTCGGCCTCCACCCAGTGTCTCTTTGGGCCTTAGGTACATACAGCCCGTTGTGGTTGAACCTGCTCTCAGCCTAGCCCCTTCCCACCCCGATGCACTCGGTGTCCCCTTGGCTCTTCTGTGAACGAGACCTTGAAGCTGAGAGGGCTGTCACTACTTGGGGCCCTCGGGTCACCCACACTGTTGCCGTGGTGCTCAGAGCCCTCACTGCTGTCAGGACTTGCCCTCCATGTGCCAAGGAAGCTCCTGCTGGGGCAGGGGCTGCCTTCCTGTCGAGTGTCTGATGTGGTAGGGAGCCCACCTTCAAGGGCTTTTCTTTGGGACAGAGTTTCCTGCCCAAGATCCCTGGCAGCCAATGGCACCAGTCACCGGAGGATGTCCTTGTTTAGCGCTGGATTCCGGGCGATGGTTTTGGGCCTCTGATGGGGAAGAGTCCAGGCTGAAGGAAACAAACGTGGCTTGGGTTGGCTCTGACTGAGATGTCTGGGAGACCACCTGCGGGTGCCCGCACAGGATCACAGGCAGGGGAGCAGAGACCCCCTGCCGGGGGGAACAAAGCCACGAGGTCTAGTGTACTTGGCACCTGCTAGGAAGCAAGAGTTAGGATGCGGACAAAGGGAGGGGCAAAGGCCAAGGGTTAATAACCGCTTTTGCTTTTTCCTGCCTGTGACAGTCAGGGGCTGTGATTTATGCCGGTAAGATGGTTTGCAGCAGGACCGAGGCTGACATTTACAAAACCCTTGTCCTAATTTATCGTCGTTTCGAGTGTGTTTTGGAAAGAACCTTTTGCAGTTGATTCGTATTCAAAACGCATTGTTTACTTAACAGGTTTTATCAATTAATCTCTTCCACACTATTGAAA